CACACACACACAGTCTGCCAATCCGATTGGCCACCTGTATTCCGGCTCTAATTGGCCCCAGGAGGGGGCTCGGCCCCCTCTCGGTTGGTCAGTTGCAGGAGGCGTGTGCGAAGCGATTTAGGAGTTAAACAGGGAAACTGAGGCAGAAGAAAACTAAGTCCAGACCTCGAGGACTCCTCTCACGGGGTGCGGTGTTTGAAGGTGGGCTCTGATGGGCCTTCTCAGCCCAGCCTGTCTGCTAGTCTATCCTGGAAGCAGCTCTGATTCGGCGCGTCCGAGTGTGTCAGTGTGCTTAAGTGATTGTGTGTCTGTGTGGGGGTGGACTGACTATGCCTGTGACTGTTGACCATGAGCGGTTGTGTTACTGCCTGTGACTGGGTCCTAAGTGTGGCTGAATGTCTTTGTAGCTTCTTGTCTGTGTAATTAGAAGCTTGTATTTGTGTTTTACTAGTATGTCTGTGATTGTGTATATCTATATATGTCAGTGTCTTGTAGCCGTGTGCAGTTGTACGTAATTATGTGCCTGACTTGACATATGCTTGAATGAGTGGCTTTACTTAAGTAGATCACTTTTAAGAACATTTGTGGCCCAACTGGTGTAGCGCCGACCTATGAACCAGGTCACTGGTTCGATTCACGGTCTGGGCACATGCCTGGATTGTCGGCTCGATTTCCAGGAGGGGACGTGCAGGGAACAACCAATCAATGATTCTCTCTCATCGTGGATGTTTCTATCTCTCCCTCTTCTGTCTTCTCTGAAACCAAGAAAAATACATTTTTTAAAAAGAGCATTTATGCAGTTTGCATATGTCTGGGTGCTTGAACATACCTATATATGAAAGACATACATCTACCATATCCTGCCCATTGCATTTGGGAAAAATAAGGTCCAGATTGCAAAACAGACTTGGTCAAGGTCACAGTGCAGAGCAGGGACCGGGATTGGGATCCAGGCCTCCCAATTCCCAGAACAGGCCTTTGCCCACCCAGGAACACTTCCTCCCACGAGATTCTCTGGGAAGTGTAGTGTGCAGCATGCTCTGCCTCACACACTGTGACTGGGTGTGATGGGAGTGACTGTGGGGTTGTGTCTGAGTATGATCTCTGGCCTGCAAGTCCCCACGGGCCTGATATCTGGTGTCCCTGGATTCTCCCACGTTCTGGGCCATATTTTCCTTAATATAAAAAGAAGCCAAAGCCAGTGTTGCTCAGTGGATAGAGCGTCAGCTTGCGGACTGAAAGGTCCCAGGTTCAATTTTGTTCAAGGGCATGTGCCTTGGTTGCAAGCACATTCCTGGTAGGGGGTGTGAGAAGGCAGCTGGTCGATGTTTCTCTCTCATCAATGTTTCTAGCTCTCTATCCTTCTCCCTTCCTCTCTGTAAAAAATCAGTAAAATATATTTTTTTAAATAAAATTATTTGAATTTTCTTCCTCCCACAATAGGCAGTCCAACACCACCCTGAAATATCCGGGATTCTGCATAGCTCTTATTTTTCTGGACACCCCCCCCCTCCTGCAGCCAGTGACCTCTCTCTTTCTACTTCCTTTCTTCCAAAGCTCCCTGTCCTGAAGCTGTTGTGGGTGCTGGAGTTCTCTATGCCCAGGGGGAAGCCAAAATCAAGGCTCAGGGCTTCCTATCCTTCAAAGTCCAGTATTCCTACAGGCCACATCATCCCAGAAGCCTTACCTCCCAGCCAAATGCCTCTTTTCCTCTGGACCCTCATCTTTCAGAGCCAGCATGCCTGTTTAGTGCTTTGTCCTAAACCAAGATCTCTCCTTAAAAGAGACTCTGCTTTTCCCAGCCAGTGTGGCTCAATGGTTGAGTGTCAATCTATGAATCAGGTCACAGTGTGATTCTGTGGTCAGGGCACATGATCGGGGTTTCGGTTTCAGTTCCCCAGTAGAGGATGTTTCTCTCTCACTTCCTCTATGAAATTAAAAAAAAAAAAAATTTTAAGAGATGGTGTTTCTTTTCATAAAACCACTCTAACTCCAGCCATTTTGTTTTACTTAAGTAAAAGTCACATAAAAGTAGTCATTTAACGTGTACAAGCCCTCGTTGGTTTGGATAGACCGTCGGCCTGAGGACTGAAGAATACCAGGTTCAATTCTGGTCAAGGGCACATGGCCCCGGGTTGTGGGCTCAATCTCCAGAAGAGGGAATGCAGGACGCAGCCAATCAGTATTTCTCATAATTGATGTTTCTGCCTCTCCCTCTCTGAAATCAATAAAAATATATTAAAACAAATAAGGTGTACAGTTCAGTGGCATCTAGTACATTCACAATGTTGCACAACCACTACCTCTATCTAGTTCCAGAACATTTCCATCCCCCAAAAAAACCTTGTACCCATTAACAGTCACTTCCCATTCCCTCCTCCTCTAATTCCTAGCAACCACTAATCTTCCTGTCTCTATAGGTTTGCCTGTTCTGGATATTTCATATAAATATAACAATAGGTAGCTTTTTGTGACTGGTTTCTTCCATTTGTCTTAGGGGTTCATCGTAAAATGTATTATAAATTCAACCCTTTCATGGCTGAATAATATCCCATTGTATGAACTGTGGGCCACATTTTGTTTATGCACTCATTTGATAATGGACATTTAGATTGTTTCCATCTTTTGGTGATTGTGAATAATGCTGCTGTGTTCGAGTCCCTGTTTTCAGTTCTTGGGGGTATACCTAAGAGCGGAATTGCTGGTTCATATGGTAACACTAAGTTTAACTTTTTTTATATATATATTTTATTGATTTTTCACAGAGAGGAAGAGAGAGGGATAAAGAGTTAGAAACATCGATGAGAGAGAATCATCGATCAGCTGCCTCTTGCACACCCCCTACTGGGGATGTGCCCACAACCAAGGTAATAATACATGCCCCTGACCGGAATCGAACCCGGGACCTTTCAGTCCCCAGGCCGACGCTCTATCCACTGAGCCAAACCGGTCCCGGCATAAGTTTAACTTTTTGAAGAACCATCAAACTGTTTTCCACAGTAGTTGCACCATTTAATATTCCAACCAGCAGGGTACTGGGACTTCAATTCCCCACACCATTGCTAAAAATTGGTATATTCCTTTTTTTACATTACTTTTTGCCCTCATCCAAAAAAATATATTAGCACATGATAATTTTTTGTCTTCTTGTGTGATGCAATTCTGTGTGTCTGTGTGGTGTCTATGTCTGGGCAAGGTCATGTGTCTGGGCAAGGTCGTGTGTCTTTCCCTATTAGGGTGTTTAATTCCATGTTGGTGTAGTTGCCTGCGTTTGTATGAGTGTGCCCCTATGGCTGGGCATTGGTATCTGTACAATTGGGTGGCCAGTAGTAGGTGGCATGACTGCAAGAGGTTGTAGATTTTGTATGGCACTGTGTGTGTCTGTGTCTAATGTTAGCTGTGTGTATAACTGTATCATTGTGTGTTTGTAAAAGGTTGTAAGCTACTGGGTTATATACCTTTGTGTTTGAGGCTGCATCTGTGTTTGACAGGATTGTGTGACTGTGTCTTCTATAGTTTTTAAAAATATATATTTTATTGATTTTTTACAGAGAGGAAGGGAGAGAGAGAGAAACATCTATGAGAGTCATCAATCAGCTGCCTCTTGCACGCCCCCTACTGGGGATGTGCCCGCAACCAAGGTACATGCCCTTGACTGGAATTGAACCCAGAACCCTTCAGTCCTCAGGCTGATGCTCTATCCACTGAACCAAACCGGTTTTGGAGTCTTCTGTAGGTTTGTGACAACATATCCAAGAATGCCCTTGTGTCTGTTTAATTGTAGCTAAACCATGCCACTATAATTGTATGATTTGTATGTGATCGGGTAATTCTGTGTGATTATGAATTCTGTCTGAGGGATTATGTTACTACACCATTGTGTAAGTAAACAGCACATGGTTGTACCTTCCTGACCACAATGTGCTGCACAGACAAGTACATGGCAGGGTCTACATGGTCAGTGTGGCTGAGGTGACCAGGAATGTGTGTCATTATGTAATTGCATATTACATGTGTCACATATGTAAATGTATGTGTGAACTGTATGTCTGTGACGTGCGTTCACGTTGCCTACCTGGGGATCCCACGGCACCACAGTGCAGGTCCTGGGTGCAGCACCTTGGGTCGTGCCCCCATGTGGGACAGAAATCGGGCAGTAGCAGGACCAGGGTAAGTGCTGGAATGGTTCTCCACAAGTCAGGTGCTTCCTGTGGTCCAATCCAATGCTTTCATCCCATCCAGGAGGTGGCTTCTCCCCAGACCCAGCTGCAGTGGCACCAGCTTCAACCTCCACACAGCCCCACTCCCCGCAGTGCTCCCTGGGAGTCCGTGGTAGGCGGTGGGGGCTGATTAGCAGGGGCCCCTCCTGCCACTGGGCTCAGACGCTGAAGGTTCACAACCCAGGCAAGTTCAAGGCAAGCTAATGTGAAGCCCCAGCTTCCAGCCCTGCCACCCACCAGGGACAGAGCTTTGGCTGTTCTGGGCCCCCACCTGATAGCAGCCTCCACCGTCTGGGGCGTCTGATAATGCCTGGCTTGGCAGGGAGCTGGTGCCAAGTCCCGCCATCAGCACGGCTGTTTCTGTTTTGGGGGAGGGAAGAAGAGAGAGGGGGGGTTTGCAGGGCCCCAGTTGAGGGAGAGGGGGACCTGGAAGCCCCTTCCCAGAATCCCCATTCCACCTGTCACCCCCTCTCCAAGTAGGTAAATGAAAGGCCTCCAAGTCTTTCCTTTTTGGGGGGAGCCAGTAGTTCCTCGCTTTATATAACACCCGAACCCCCAGACCTCTGGACCCCTAACCCCTGAACATCTGACTGAGCTTTGGACGCAGGGTCAGTCTTTAAAAGGCTCCTTGCCAAACAGGCCAAGGCAAGGTCTGTTCCCCAGAAATGGTGACACCCCCCGCCTTGCCAGACCCTTATCAGGGGTTGCAGCCAATCAGCTGAGAGCAGAGAGGAGCCTTCCAAGGGGCCATCAGAGCCTCAGAGCCCACGAGGCCACAAAGGGAGAGGAGACCTGAGGCCCTTGGGTGGGCGCCCGTCAGCCATGGCCACGGCTGACACCACCTTGCCTTCCATCAGTGCGCTGACTGCCCTAGGCCCCTTTCCAGACACACAGGAAGACTTCAAGGTGAGGCCAGGCAGGGTCAGGTGGCTGGCTGGGGTCCGGGTCTGCAGTCACAGAGCGTGGGGAGCAGGTCTGCATCCAGAGACGCGGCCAGGGCTGGGGGTGCTCCGTCCGGTCCAGGGATCTGGATGTGGTCTAAGGGCCTGTTTCTGCCTTGGAAAACGAAGGCTCAGAGCTGAACACTGTGGTGGTCTGGGCTCCTGGAGACGCCAGGGATCAGGAGGAAAGAACAAAGGTGTCCAGGAGACACCCAAGAGTTAATCTTGGGAATTTATGGTGCAGGGGGACTGGAAAGGAGTGAGAGTGAGAGATTGGGGGGGGGGGGGGGAATTGAGGCAAGGCTGCCCCCTCCCATTCTTGGCTCTGCCACCCCTTCCCCCATGCCTAAGTGCAACTCCAGATAATGTAAGTCTTATCTCCAGTCTCCAGCCAGACCCTATCGACCTCTGTCCCTGAAGCTGGAGGGGGGACGGGGACAATGTGAGGGAGTGGGACAGACAGCACAGACAAGCAAGCAAGACCCTCTCAGGAGCTCAGCCAGCCTGCCCCATCGGGGCACCAGGCCCCCTCCGGCGGGGAGGGTGCCCTGGTGGCCGCAGCAGCCTCACGCCATGGGCTCCCTCCCGCAGTGGTGGCGCTTTGAGGACGTGCAGGACTTGGGTCCGGGTCCCCCGGAACAGGCTCGGCCGCTCCTCCACGTGAGGCCCAAGTTGGAGTACGCGCCCGAGGAGAAAGAAGACGACGACGACAGGGATCCGGCCACGGCCTGGGACCTGGATCTCTTCTTCACCAACCTGTCCGGCGCGGAGCCCGGTGGCGCGCCTCCGCCCTGTGCCCTGGCGCCGGGGGAAGGCCCCGGAGCGCCGTTCCCGCCGCAGCCCGAGACCCCAGAGGCATACGCGGGCGGCCTGGGGCTGGTGGCGGGGCTCCTGGGGCCCGAGGAGCCCCCGGGCTGGGCGCGCCAGGCCCCGCAGGCTGCAGCCCCCGACGCCTTCGTGAGCCTCGCGCTGGTCCCGGCTCCCGAGCCCAAGGCGCTGCCGCTGCAGCCGGTGTACCCGGGCCCGGCGGCGGGCTCCCCCGGCAGCTATTTCCCGCGGACCGGGGTGTCGGTGCCCGCGGCGCCCGGCGCCCCCTACGGGCTGCTGTCGGGGTACCCGGCCTTGTACCCGGCGCCGCAGTACCAGGGGCACTTCCAGCTCTTCCGCGGGCTCCCGGCGCCCGCCCCCGGCTCCGCCGCGCCCCCCTCCTTCCTGAATGGCCTGGGACCCGGGACCGCCGCCGGGGACCCGAGGGGGCCCGCGGGCGCCGTGCCCATCAAGCGCAGCCGGCGCTCCTGGGCGCGCAAGCGGCAGGCGGCGCACACGTGCTCGTACCCGGGCTGCGGCAAGAGCTACACCAAGAGCTCGCACCTCAAGGCGCACCTCCGGACCCACACCGGTGAGGCTCCCCTCGACCGGGCTGGGCTGGGGGCGGACCCCGGGGGGGAGCAGCGTGGCCGGGAGGCGAGGAGAAAGGGAAGGGGCCCGGCGCAGGGGGCGGGAGAGGAACCGTTATGACAGGGGGGGCTAAGGGGGGTCTCAGGGCAGGAACCGTTATGACAGGAGGGGCTAAGGGGGGTCTCAGGGCAGGAACCGTTATGACAGGAGGGGCTAAGGGGGTCTCAGGGCCAGGAACGGGACCGAGGCAGCTGGAAGCGGACTGGACCCTCAGACGCAGGGCCAGGGGACAGGTACCGGGTGTGGGAGGCGGGTGGGGGCAGAGAGAGGACCTAGAACATCTGAGCAACGTTTCAGGGAACTGACGGGTAAGATCTGGGCCCAGGCCCTGGCCGGGTTGGCTCAGCGGATAGAGCATCGCGGCCTGCGGACTGAAGGATCCCGGGTTCGATTCCCGTCAAGGACACATGCCCGGATGGCAGGCTCAAGCTCCAGTTGGGGGGGGGGGGGGGGCGTGCAGGAGGCAGCCAATCAATGATTCTCTCTCATCGTTGATGTTTCTATCTCTTTCTCTCTCCCTTTCTCTCTGAGATCCATAAAAATATAGTAAAAAAAAGAAAAAGAAAAAAAAGGATCTGCTGAAACCGGTTTGGCTCAGTGGTAGAGCGTTGGTCTGTGGACTGAAAGGTCCCAGGTTCGATTCTAGTCAAGGGCATGTACGTTGGTTGCGGGCACATCTCCAGTAGGGGGTAGCAAGAGGCAGCTGGTCGGTGTTTCTCTCTCATTGACATTTCTAGCTCTCTATCTCTCTCTCTCTTCCTCTCTGTAAAAAATCAATAAAAATATATTTTAAAAAAAAAGGATCTGGGCCCAGGCTGAGGAGCAGAAAGCCTAGCAAGTGGAGTGGAGGGCGGGGCTGGAGGAGGGGCTGAGGGGAGGGGCCATGTGTGGCCAGCCAGGGACCTGGCCAAGGACGCTGGGTTCAGGTCTGTGACAAGCTGGGAGCGGGGTCAGGGGGTGGGGGACGGAGCCAGGAGTATATATAGCAGTTTGTGTGCATGGAGCTCAGGAGGGGAGGGAGATACAGGGCAGAGTCAGTTTCCTGTGCTCAGAGGCAGAGTGGTTCCAGGAAGATGAGGAGGAATAGCTGAAAAACAGAGGAGGTGGGCCCAAGAGGAGCGGGTTCGGGGAGCCAAAGACCAAGCTACGCTGCAGAATAGAAATCTGGAGGAGAAAGAGGGAGACCTATGCTTTAGGGCAGCGATTTTCAAACTTTTTCATCTCCTGGCACATAAGCTAATTACTAAAATTCTGCAGCACACCAAAAAAAAAAAAAAATTCTACTTTTTGCCGATCTGAAAAAAAAATAGGTAAAATGACTGATTTACAAAAAAAAAAAAAAAAGTAATTACCTACCCTTTTTGCTCCAAAGTGACTATTTTAAAAAAATTAGATGCCTATGCTTGCATAAGGGTTTCTGGTGCCAAGAATTAACCAATCAGATGTAACCTTCCTATGCTACTTGACCAATAAGATACAACTCTATTATATGACCTAAATATTTATGGTTCAAGACAATGAGTGACTTTTTTTTTTTTTTTTTTTGAAATCTCATTAAACTTAGCAGGATTTTTTCTTTCTTTCTTTCTTTCTTTATATTTATTGACTTTTTTATGGAATTTTTTTAATTTTTTTAAATATAGCTTTATTGTTCAGATTATTACAAATGTTCCTCTTTCCCTTATTTTATTGACTTTTTACAGAGAGGAAGAGAGAGGGATAGAGAGTTAGAAACATCAATGAGAGAGAGTCATCGACCAGCTGCCTCTTGCACACCCCCTACTGGGGATGTGCCCGCAACCAAGGTACATGTCCTTGACCAGAATCGAACCTGGGACCTTTCAGTCCGCAGGCCAACGCTCTATCCACTGGGCCAAACCGGTTTCAGCGGTGACTATTGTTTTGTTAGCTGTTGTCATTTTTATTAACAACGGAAGGGAAAAGAAGTCAGTGCCCCTGACTAAATGGTCAGGTATTTCACACTGGCTGGAAACTGCTGCTTTAGGGGTCCACATAGATGGCGGGCCAGGTGCATTGTGTGTGTGTGGGGGGGGGGGGGACACTAATCACCACAGACAGGGCCCAGAACACCAGGGGATCCTAAGGGTCAAGGCCAGGGGCAGGGCTGGGCAGCAGCTGGAGGGTCCCCTGAACCACAGGGGACAGGCTGTAGGATGACTAGGACACCAGGGCAGGTAACAGGGCCCGGGGAATGGGCCAGTGGTGTAGTAGGGGATGTGACGTGGGCCCAGGAAATGAAAACAGGCTTGGCGCCAGGTGCCGGTACTGAACTAGAAGGGTCGGGTCGCAGAGGCCAGGCCTGGGCACAGGCCCCTGAGAGTGAGCGCCTCCCTGGCCTCGCCCTAGTCCTGGTCAAGGCTGAGCAAAGGAGGGTGGCCGACGCAGTGGCGGCCTGAGGGAGGGGTGGGCGGACAATGGCACTCAGGATCTCCTCTCCTCGCCTCCCAGGGGAGAAGCCATACGCCTGCACGTGGGACGGCTGCGGCTGGCGGTTCGCGCGCTCCGACGAGCTGACCCGCCACTACAGGAAGCACACGGGACAGCGCCCCTTCCGCTGCCAGCTCTGCCCCCGGGCCTTTTCTCGCTCGGATCACCTGGCCTTGCACATGAAGCGTCACCTCTGAGCCAGCCTCCCCCTCCACCACCACCATCCCCAGCACTTGGACCTTCCTGGGGACGGGGATGGAACAGGAGCGGATCCGCGCGGACAGGGCGGTTTCCCGCGGATGGACCCTTGCCGGGACTCTCCCCCCACAGATCCCCAGGAAGAAGGACTGGCCCATACAGACCTGGGGGAGCCTCCAGCGGAAGCTCCCAGGTGTCCTCAGCCTCAGGAGCCGCACAGAGACTTCCTAGGGTCACGTAGACCCAACGAGACAGACTTCCAAATACATGGACTCAGATGGACACTCAGACACTTGGGACAGACAGACAGACCCTCGGAGAGCTGGGCCCTCAGACCAGCTCACAGGCGGCCTCGGACAAGGGAAGGGGTTTGGGGTGAGGCTTCGCAGAGACCCTGGCTCTAGAAGGGGTCTTCCCACTGTAACGGCCCAGCTCGGCGTGTGGCTGGAGTCCGCTGTGAATGGTTATGGGTCTGTACCAATGCTCCTCCCAGATAAAGCTTCCGCTGTGGCCTGCTTTTGTGCGTTTCCGGTGCCGGAAGATGGGAGGAAGCTGTAACCCCAGCGGTGATTTAGGGGGGCATACTCTCACACTCATCTCCTAACCTCAGCGATACTGCTCGGGATCCTGCAGGCCTCGCCACCCCTTTCCCCCCACCCCAAGGTCAGGCTACATCCTCCTTGCCTCCTGCTTTGAACCCCAGAGGCATTTACAGGGACCATCTCCCTCTAAGAGGCCCCAGTCCGGCCCCAGAGTCACAGCACGCTTCACCATGCCATGATCCAAAGTGACCCCTTGGCTAGCTCAGGAAAATATGCAGAATGAAAGAGGAGAACACAAGGAGCACAAACTCCCCTTTTAAAAAATATATAGCCCTCCCAAAACCAGTTTGGCTCAGTGGATAGAGCATTGGCCTGCAGACTGAAAGGCCCCAGGTTCAATTCTGGTCAAGGGCATGTATCTTGGTTGCGGGCACATCCCCAGTAGGGGGTGTGCAAGAGGCAGCTGATCGATGTTACTCTCTCATCGATGTTTCTAACTCTTTATCCCTCTCCCTTCCTCTCTGTAAAAAATCAATAAAATATATTTTAAAATATATATATAGCCCTAGCTGGTTTGGCTCAGTGGATAAAGTGTTCACCTATGCCGAGGCCGATTTGGCTCAGTGGATAGAGCGTCGGCCTGCGGACTGAGGGGTCCCGGGTTCGATTCCGGTCAAGGGCATATGTCTTGGTTGCGGGCACATCCCCGGTGGGAGGTGTGCAGGAGGCGGTTGGTCGATGTTTCTCTCTCATCAATGTTTCTAGCTCACCATCCCTCTCTCTTCCTCTCTGTAAAAAAATCAATTATATATATATATATATATATATATATATATATATATATATATATATATAAAGTGTTGGCCTATGTCTGCGGACAGAAGGGTCCCAGATTCAATTCCAGCCAAGGACGGCACAAGCCCGGGTTGCAGGCTCCATCCCCCGTTCAGTAGGGGGTGTGCGGGAGGCAGCCAATCAATGATTCCCTCTCATTGATGTTTCTGTCTCGCTATCCCTCTCCCTTCCTCTCTGAAATTAATTTTAAAAATTAATAAAATAAAATAAAAATACTTCTAAAATAAAATAAAATCCTAGTCTTATTATTATTGATTTTTTGTTATTGATTTCGGAGAAGGGAGATGGAGAAATAGAAACATCCAGAAAAGAGAACCGTGGATCGGTTGCCTCCTGCACGCCCCCTACTGGGGATTGAGCCCACAACTCGGACATGTGCCCTGATCGGGAATCGAACCTGCGACCGCCTGATTCATATAGGTCGATGCTCACCAACTGAGCCATGTGGGCAGGGCACAGACTCCCCTTAAGAGAGTAAAAGTCCCAAGAGTTGGACCTCAAGCTGGAAAGCTGGAATGGAAAAAAAAAACAAATTTGTGTCTCACCCGTGAGCCGAGGGAGGAGGAGGGCCTGGCGGGAGAGTGGATTGGGATAAACAAGAATCAAAAAGACAGAAGCGGGGCCTGGCGGAAGAACGTGAGCGCTGATTGGCCAGCAGTAGAGCCGAGGCGGGACGCGAGGAACCACTTGGCCATCAAAGAGCGTGGTCTGGGCCGACAGAGGGCGGAGCCTATCAAGGGTCCCATCCAATGGAAATGGGAGGCGGCCGTAGGCTGGACGAATGAGGGCCGGATTTTAGCGGAGTGACCGCCCAAAGGGAAGCCCCGCCCCCAGGGATCGAGGCCTGAACTTTCAAATCTCTGCTTCTCAGCTCAGGGGCGGGGTTTCATCCCGGGAGGTTCCGCCCTGGGTTCTCGGGAGGATTTTGGGGAAATGAAAGTCACCAAGGACCGGCCCTGGTCCAACTCGTGACCCGGCGCCTGGGGTCCCAGCACAGATTTCCCGGCTCCAGCCCCATGGCCGCTCTGAGCCTGCTGCTCCTGGGCGCGCTGCTCTGGGTCCCAGCAGGCACCCTCACCTGCTACGGGGACTCGGGGCAGCCTGTGGACTGGTGAGTGCGGGGCTCCACCGACCGTGCCCTCTCCTGTCCCCTCCCCCCCAAAACAAAACAAACAAACAAAAAACCTGGGTGAAGCCTGGGGCTTGCTCTCTGCCCCTTCCTCCGTTTCTGTCCTTTTCCCAACCTCCAGGTTCGTCGTCTACAAGCTGCCAGCCAATAACGGGTATAAGTACTTGGATGCGGACTCAGGGGGCTGGCGCGACGGGACGGTGACCATCGACAACCCCAAGGGAGCCGTAGGCCGCAGCTTGCTGCCCCTGTACAAGAACACCAGCCAGGTGAAGGGGCGGGGTGCGGGCAGAACCCAGGTGGGACTCTGGGGGACCCCCGGCCTGGAGGAAGACTTCATGGCGCCCCATCCATCTCCCCCAGATTGCCTTCCTACTTTACAATGACCAGCCACCTAATCCCAACGGGACCCAGGACTCTTCCAGCCGGGGGCACACGAAGGGTGAGCCCCGATCCGGGGCTGGAGAAGGGCTCTGGCTTCCTTACGCTTTTCCTTTTCCCGCAGCTAACTCCTGCCCTGCAGGGCGGGAGGGGCTCCTTTGGGACACAGGGGCAGGGCAGCAGGGTATCTCAGGTAAATGCTTTCTCTGGACTGTGACAGCAGTGGGCTGCAGAGAGAGTTTGGCAGTGCTCCAGAGACTGCCCATACCCCGTCGGGGCTCCCTGCGGACTGAGGCTGCTCCTGGCTGCACCCCTGCTTGTTGGGAGACCTTGAGCAGTCCCCCTGACCCTGTCTTTTGGTTCAGGTGTGCTGCTCCTGGACAAAGAAGAGGGCTTCTGGCTGATCCACAGTGTCCCAGGCTTCCCTCCACACGATGCATACCTCTGGCCTCCCCAGGCCCACAGATATGGCCAGACCCTCCTCTGTGTGTCTTTTCCGTTCGACCAGTTCTCAAAGATTGGTGAGTGGGGACAAGGAAGCAGGGCGTTGCCTGGCTTCCAGACCAGAATGTGGAACAGTCAGTCCCTAACTTTCTCTTCCCCTTGCCTTCCAGGCACCCAGCTGAGCTACACCTTCCCCGACGTGTTTTGCCACCGGCTGGAAGGGGTCTTCCTTGAGAAATTGCCTGGCCTGGCCGAGGTGGCCAAGGGCCACCATGTTCTCAACCGGCCCTGGAACAGCAGCGTGACACTCACATCCAAGGCAGGGGCCACCTTCCAGAGCTTTGCCAAATTTGGGAAATTTGGAGATGGTGAGCCCCCTGGGGTTGTGGGTTGGAGAGCTCTTTCTCTGTAGAGGTGGGGTCAGGTGTGCCCGTGGCCGAGAGCAAGCTGCAAGTAGGAACTAGAACCCTTTGGGAGCCATAAACACGTGAGAGGTACACAACCAACAGGCCTGGGCTCAACCATTGGTTTCTGGTTGTGGGGGGACACTATTTAACCGGACTCTCATTTTACCCGTCTGGAAAAATGGGGGTACTAATATCTACTATAAAGGGTTGTTGTGGATGAAGTAATGAATAGTGTTTAGTGAGAACTGTTAACCAGGAATTGACAACCGAGGAAACTGAGCTCAGTGACCCTGTCCATGCCCTCCTTCCATCCTCCGCAGACCTATACTCTGGCTGGTTGGCAGAAGCTCTTGGAAGCAACCTACAGGTCCAGTTCTGGCAACACTCTCCTGGCATCCTGCCCTCCAACTGCTCTGGGCCCCAGAAAGTGCTGGATGTGACCCAGATAGCCTTCCCCGGACCAGCCGGGCCCACGTTCAGAACCATGGAGGACCACTCCAAGTGGTGTGTAGCTCCAGAAGGGCCCTGGGCCTGTGTGGGCGACATGAATCGGAACCATGGGGAGGAGCACCGGGGTGGGGGCACGCTGTGCACCCAGCTGCCTGCCCTCTGGAAAGCCTTCCAGCCGCTGGTGAAGGCCTGGCAACCCTGTGAGAGAAGAGCAGCACCTGGACTCCAGAAAGCCCCGCAGAGCACGTAGGAGCAGCGTGGACGTCAGCTTAAACCCCAGTGCAGCCCCTTATTGTGTGGCCTTCACTGTGTGCCTTAGCCCGTGACTCAGTCTACTCACCTGCAAAATGGAAGCACTTGGCTCAGAAGCTGTGAGGAGCCCTAGCCGGTGTGGCTCAGAGGACAGAGCATCGGCCTGCGGACTGAAGGGTCCTGGGTTCTAGTCCGGTCAAGGGCATGCGCCTTGGTTTCGGGCACATCAACAATAGGGGGTGTGCAGAAGGCAGCTGATTGATGCTTCTCTCTCATCCATCGATGTTTCTAACTCTATTCCTCTCCCTTCCTCTCTGGAAAAAAAAAAATCAATAAAATATAAAAATTTTTTTAAAAAAGTTATGAGGGTCGAAACCAGTTTGATTCAATGGATAGAGCGTCGGCTTGGGGACTGAAAGGTCCTGGGTTCAATTCCAGTCAAGGGCATGTACCTTGGTTTCGGGCATTCTCCAGTAGGGGGTGTGCAAGAGGCAGCTGATCGATGACTCTCTCTCATCGATGTTTCTATCTCTCTCTCTTCCTTCTTCTCTGTACAAAATCAATAAAATATATTAAAAATAAAACACACACTGACCCTTTAAAAAAGAAAAAAGTTATGAGGTATAAAAAGAAAGTGGTAGATGGGCTGTTGACTTTTTCTTCACAGGTGAGACCACAAGGAAAGACTCCCCTCCCCTCTCTAGAGTAACCAGGACCAGAGTTCCTCCCTTTAACAAGAACACAGGCAAGAGGGCTAAAGCCTGGTCTCGCCTGGGAGGTGGGGAAGCCTCAGAGAGCTCACGCAGCACGGACACGCTTTATTTATATGTGTACATGTGTATACAGGCGGCTGTACAGTGCAGGGCCAGCGGCTCCTCCGCTAGGGGCCAGGGGCCGGGGGGCAGGGGGCCCTTTTGGTCAGGCCTGAAGGAGGCACGGCTTCAGCAGGGCACCTGGAAGTCAGCGCCACCTCGGGCTTGGTGGCCTGCAGGAGGGGAGTGGGTGGGGCTGGGGGCCCTGTCGCGTTTTTCGTAGGGGCTGCACAAGGGGGCTGGGCCTCTGGGGAGAGCTTGGGGGAGGTGGGCTTGGAGCGAGGCCCGCTCGGCGTGGTCCGCTCCTCCACCTTCTGCAGCCCCCGGCGTTCAGGGCCTCGGAGGACCTGTGGTGCGGGAGGCACCGGGGGTGTGGATCCCTGCAGCCCCTTAGAGTCCGAGCCCAGAGGCCGGGACGCCTCGACCTTGGCCCCAGGCCGCTCGGGCTCTACCACGATGGGCACTAGGGTCGTGCCCACCTCACCGGAGCTGCTGCGCCGGCCCGTCTCATGTTCCTGCACCGGGCTCAGCGCGGCCTTGGCCACCGCCCTGGCCGCCCCACCCAAGCCGTCCTCGGTCTGCACGGTCTGCACGCTCTGGTGCCGCGTGCCGCCGGCGTCCCGCTCCAGGGTCCGGCCTCCGGGGGTGGCCCCGCGGGGCTGGGTGCAGGCCTCCCCACTGCCGGGGGACTCCTCTTTCCCCGGAGGCCTGGGGGTGCCCTGGGGCAGCAGCGGGTCCACTCCCAGGCTGAGGGGCGACTCCTGGCGGCCCAGGCGGCGCACGGCCACCTGCAGGGGCGCCCCGGGCCCCTCGACCACGGGGGGCGTCTCCCCGTCGGACTCGGCCAGGCTGTGCAGCGCCAGCTCGCCGTGGAAGTCCTTGCGGAAGTCCGGGTGGCCCACCTCGAGGCTGTGCTTGCGCAGCGCCCCCTTCTTGTCGGCGCCCAGCGCGGCGCCCAGCTTCTCCGCCGACTGCACGCGCTTGAGCAGCGGCGAGCGCGGGGGCTCGGCGCTCTTGGGGCGCGGGCGCACCACGGGCGGCGAGGAGTGCAGCTTGGCCGGGAAGCTCTGGGTGGTGTGCGAGCTCCCCACCGTGTGGCCGGGCAGCGGCGGCGGCGACGCCTGCGTGGGGGACGGCGTGTGCGCCAGCGGCGACAGCGGGATGTTGCCGGCCGACTTGCAGCGCGCCGAGCGGTACTGGCGGTGCAGCTTGGGCGACAGGCCGTGCAGCGTGCTGGGCCGGATGTGGTGCGACGCCGAGGACGCCGGAGAGTTGGGGGTGCTCGAGGCGGGGGAGCTGCTTTGGGACGAGGCACCTGAGGGCGGGCAAAAGGGGGTGTTCCGCTGGCGGGCGCCGCCAGGGGGTCGGCCTCCCCTCCTTCCCCGGCGCAGTGCCAGCCCCTAGAGCTGCCCCTTTGGGGACCCGCGCATCCGGTGAGCCTGGGGGGGGGAACAGAGGGGGCCCAGCAGGCCAGAGCTCACCTAGGTAGGCGGAGTCGGGGGTGGAGCGGTAGCTGTGGGTGGGTGAGCGAGCGGGGAGCCCGTGGGTGGGCGAGCCCGGGAGGCTGTCGCTGGACGACAGCGAGCGGTTCAGCGACGACAGCGAGCGGCTGGTGTGCAGCAGGTTGGACTGCTTCGTGATCTTGCGGAAGAGCGAGCTGCGCTTCTTGCTGGGGAACAGGGAGAGGGCCATGTACCTTCTTAGATAGAGCCAAATGCACAGCTCCCAGCTCCCCTGAAGCCCCTGGGCCGCCCACTCTCCGACCCCGCCTTCTCCAGCTACAATCCACCAATCACAACCGAAAGAACTTCCCACGTGGGCCCGCTTGGCTCCTCGCAACCTCTTATGGCCCCTCCCACCTCACTAGTCCCTCCCTCTCCTGCCGCAACTCACCTATCAGAGAAGGAAAAGGTTCACCTGCCTCAGTTCAGGCTGGCTCCTCACTTAAATACCCACTCACGACTTGTCCAGGCCAAACCCACTAATCAAAATAGAACACTCGAGGAGAAACCAAGATGACAGCATAGGTAAACACCTAAACTGCTGCCTCCCACAACAATTTCAAAACTATTCCGGTAGGACATGATCTCACTCATCCAGGGGAAATGATGAACAACATGGACTGATGAACAAGAAGAGACCCAGAGACAAGGAGCCATGGATCAGACTGTTGGACCTCAGAGGGAGTGTAGGGAGGGTGGGGATAAAGGGGAGAGATCAAACAAAGGACTTGTGTGCATTCATGTGAGCCTAACCAGTGGTCAAGGACAACAGGGGGGTTGGGAAATGCATGGGGAGGGGAGGGGGATGGGAATGGAGGGGATGAGGACAAATGTGTGATACCTTAATCAGTAAAGAAATAAAAAAAGCAATTTCAAAACTACAACTAAAAGACAAAATAGAACACTCTCCCGGCCCCACCTTCCTCTCTTAGCTCCTCCTACCTGAAAGGCATGAAATTATGTCAGTTGGCCCAGTCTTGCCTGGCTTGCTCATTCCAGATAGAACTCCCTTCTCCTAGCCCTCCCAGGGGACTAAACACACTCAAAAGGACAAGACCACCTCCTGAACTGTGCCCTCTCTCATGCATATCTGCTGGCCCCGCCCACCTGCCCGAGACACCACCCCAATGTTCTTTCTCCAGCCCAGGAACCTGGCACTGTCCCAGCCCGTGCTTCCGCCCAGGCCTCTCGTTTTTGCTCTTTACTTCGTGGCCCCCACACTTCCTTCTCCTGTCCAGAGCTGTGGCCGTCCCATCTCAGCCCTGCCCACTGTTCAAACACTGGAGCCTGCTGTATATAGCCCCTGTGCCTGCTGCATATAGCCCCGCCTCCGCAGCTGGCCCCGCCCGCCCCCACTGGCCCCGCCCCCACACCGGGCCCCGCCCGCCTCCACTGGCCCCGCCTCCACACCGGGCCCCGCCCGCCTCCCTGGCCCCGCCCCCACACCAGGCCCCGCCCACCTCTCCTGGCCCTCCTTGGCTGAGGGTCTCCGGTTCCTCCGAGCCATTTTAGCCTTGTAGCTGCTGCGCCTCGCAGGGCCAATGCGAATGGAGGTGTTTTCGAAGGGTGTGGTGGTCACCGCCACCTTGTTGCCACTCTGGGGGAATAAGGGGGACAAATGCTCTGCTGGAGGCTGTCCCGGCAGCTCCAGCTCCCAGGACCTCCGCTCCCCTGTCCCTAGGGTACTGCCTCCCTCCCGTGCACTCACCTTAAGGATCAGCTCCACGACCTCAGGGTGCACCATGCCGTGCACTGGCTCCCCATTCACGTGGGTGATGAGGTCCCCCGCACAGAGCCCTGCCTCCTGGGCTGGGCCCCCCTCCTCCACGTGCTGGGGACAGGGCACCACACAGCGTGGGGTTAACGGCATCAGCAACAAGGAAGCTCCCCGAGCTTACGTGCCCCACACCTAGCTCTGAGTTTGCTTTCATCCTTGTAGCACCTTATGAAGTAGTCATTATTCCTCCCAGTTTACAACTGAAGAAAACAAGCTCAGAGGGAGAAGGATATTGAAGGTCATAGGCGTCTCATCCAGGCTGCCTGGATCCAGAGATTGAACTGTCTGCCCCTCATTTCTGGGGGCTAAAGGGGAGTTTCTCTACCCCACGCCCATCTTGGAAGACAGACCCCACCCATGGGCGCTCACCCAGACGATGTGATGAACACTGTAGACGTCTGAGTCACCCATGTAGACGCGGATGGCTCGCAGCGTGAAGCCGTACTTCTTGCCAGAGCGCTGGATGGTAATGGGGGAGCGGAGCCCGCTGACAGCCGGGGAGTAGTCCCGGCTGGGCGAGGAGTCCCTCGAGGACGGGTTGGAGGAGAGAGATCGTGGAGACATGGGGCTGGCCAGGGGTGAGCTTCCATGAGGGTCCACTGCAGACATAGAATCGTGGCCAGAGGTCAAAGCCAGCAGCAACCACAGCTCTCCCAGTATCTGCTCCTCCCACCGCCTCAAAGTCCCAGAGCTCTCATTGGCCCACCCCAGTGTCCATCACTGTGGACGGGAAAAATGCAGCGTCATCATTGGCCTGTCCTGACACAACGGGGGCAGGCCCGCCCTCCCAGGCGGGGCCCAGCCTCACCTGCAGGAATCATGACAGACAGGGCAGTGGCAGAGGCCGACTTGATGACTTTGCCCCCGGTCCGGGAAGGCCGCTTCTCCGCCGCCGGGTCCCCCGACAGCTGCTGGTGCCGAGCCCGGCGCAGGACCAGGTCGTTGGTGGCCCTCGGGCCTGCGGGGTCCCCGTCCTTGGAAGGTGGGCAGAGGTCCCCTGGGCGTGGCTGGCCAGCTGCAGCGGAGCAGGGGGGTTAGGAGGCGGGCCAAGGTCAGGGCATCCTGTAGGAGTTCCCTCTGCCTGGAATGCTTTCCCCATATCTCACCCTCGTGGGAATGCCAGTTTCCTGGGA